GAGGTTGACTACTGCGTGCCATGTCAGTGTGTACCGATGCTGGTTGTTGTCCCAACGGCCCGCAGTAGCCAACCGCCCTCTAACGCAGTGTATGTATGCCTGAGAGAGAGAGAGGTTGACTACTGCGGGCCATGTAAGTGCACACCGCTGCTGGTTGTTCTCGTTCTGTCCCGCAGTAGTCAACCTCTCTCTCTCTCTCTCTCTCTCTCTCTCTCTCTCTCTCTCGTGAGGGTGCCACGTCGCTGCTAGGGCTTCTCATAAATGTATGTGATGTGTCATGCAATAGATGGAGTCTGCGATTCAATCGAATGTCAACGGCGTGGAGACATGCGCGATGGAGACCCAGGACATTGTCAAGGGTATCGCAGTTGTCAGCAACGAAGGGATATCGGCCGGAGCAAACACCACAGACTGTGCAGTGGTCCTTGCGGCAATTTGTGAGCAGACTGCAGACATGATGACGGATGGTGAGGCCAGTGGGAATGATGCAGGGTGTGTTGTTGCAGACGAGAATGTGGTCAGGACGTCAGCAGGGACTCTCTTCCCCTATGACATCAATTGGGTGCCTGGTCGTCTTCAACCGGGTATCGTTGGAGGAGCGCCGTACTTCGCGTTCAAAGTCAATGGGGAATGGGTTCCATATCCCGTCCCCAAAGCGACGTCGTGGAGGGGCGTGACTCTGTCAATCATCTTCGACAGAGTGCTGAGGTTGAACGATGAGGTGAGCGCTGACGAAAAATCGCGGCATGTGTTGAAACTGTGGCATGTTCTGGACGCGAAGGGCGAGTTGAGGCTCAATGATTTTGAGTACGACAGTGTCGACTGCGGAGAGTCATGGGTGATTGGCGGGTTGGACACTGCAGCGAGTTCGGTTTGCCCACAGACTGATGCCAGGAGGGATCCACGGTGGGGTTGGGTGCCACATGACGGCCCGCTTCTTTGTGGCCGTGTGAAGGTGCCGATGCGTGATGCCATGGGGAATGTATGGACCACGTGTTATATAAACGACAACTTCTCATCTAGGCACTTGAACAGGGAGGTGACTGAAGAGGAGAAAATGGCGATGGCTTATCCCACCCCAGCTGCTCGTTGTTTTTCGCCGCCTCTTCGAAACCCTGTGGAGCTCGAGGTGGCAGAGGGGAAAGTGTTCGCGGGTTACCATGGGTACACATACAGGCATACCAGAGGGGAGGACGCTACTGCTGATGAAATAACCACGCTGGTATGAGACCCATTCAACCTGAACCCTGACGTTCTGGCTGCCATAGACATTGCGGCCCATGTCATCCCTGAGGGGCAGTTGCAGCAGCATGTGGCCCCTCAGAAGTATGGATATCGTGTGAATTGGGTCCCAGGATGTCTGCAGCCGGCAACAGTTGATGGCAAGGTGACCATGGCAGCGAAACTGCGGACAGGCAATTGGCTGCCCTTGGGGTGGATGCATGCAGGCATGGTGGAGCAGTGGTAGTTCCTGGTGGTAGTGGCACGTGTCTCCATTTTCAATGCAGATGTGAAGGACCATGTGCTGGTTGTGGAGCATGCAAAGCGGTGCTGGGAGAAGATAAGGGAGGAGGACCGTCAGATGGTGTGCATGGGTTACGACTCCATGCCAGACCAGGGGATGTGGTCCATGGTTGAGGGGAGTCCTGGTGGGCAAGGGCAGGGCGATGGCGAGAACAGGTACATGGCTCACATCCGCCGCAGGCATGGTTGCTCCGCCCTTGTTGGTTGGGTCCCGGCCGTATGTCGCATGATATACGAGCAAGGTGGAGAGATGATGATGAGGTTCAGGGACCCGCTTGGTGTGCCGTTTCTGCTGACGTACTCGGATGGCCTCCTGCGAGACATTCAGTATATGGTGGCCGAGGACACCCGAGGTGGACATCGGAGGCCGGGACAGACGGAGGAGACGCGCCCGGGACATCAGGACGGTTTGTCTGCTGAGGTGGAGGGCCCATGTGGCGGTGA